CTCCTAGATTAAAGGGTCATTTATGCAGTGAGGATCCTTGTCTTTAACAATAACCCTGTTTCCATCCAAAGATGTGAATTAGATTCATGCACGAACTAATGTGGCATTGAACATCAGTGAATACAGCAGCGTCTTCAGAAACACGAGAAGACAATCAGCACTACTAATCATGCAGATTCTCCACTGTGCTGTTTGTTCTCCTCTAATAAATGAGCTGCGCCTCAGAAGACCAAACCTAAACGCGATGAACGCGGTGGCTTCTTTAGGCGTGAGACGGGAGCCCAGACTGATGCTCAAGAATAATAATAGAGGAAAAATACTGAAGCCCTGTGCTGACCGAGAGCTGAGGCCTGTTCTGATGAAGTGCATGAGTTGTGTTCACAGCAGACTTTATATGCATTCATTCTTATGAGGTCAAGTTTCTCCTACTCAGTTTTGTGCTGACATTATTTCATGCACATCTGTATGCATCTCAATGCCTGTTGAATACAATATTCCAAAATGCATTTAAATATGGAGGCATGGATATTGACGGATGCACTTCCGGAGAGTCCTGCGAGCCAGCAGAGATGATGCTCAGGACTTATTCACGGCTACTGCAGATGGAGAAGATTATTTGGCAAACGTTTATGTTTATAAGGAGGGGGAAAGCAGAGCGAGGAGGGAAATGGGGGAGAAGCTTCCAGATGTGAGGGAGAGAGCGAGTGGACTCCTCTGCATGTCTGCTTTTGGGCTCTGTTAACTCCTTAAGTGCACCGTCCTCCAGCGGGATCCTAAACTTTACTTCTCTGTATTGCCATTAAGGGAGGGGGCGACACAGTGGTTAGCACTGTGCCCTCACAGCAAGAAAGTCTCTGGTTCGAGTCCTGGCTGAGCCAGTTGGTGTTTCTGTGTGGAGTTTGCATGTTCTCCCAGTGTTGGCGTGAATTTCCTCCGGTTTCCCCAACAGTCCAAACACATGCACTATAGGGGGATTGATCAACTAAACTGGCTGTAGTGTATGGGTGTTTCCCAGTACTTAGTTGCAGCTGGAAGGGTGTCCGCTGTTTAAAGCATATGCGGGAATAGTTGGTGGTTCATTCTGCTGTAGTGACCCGTGATGAATAAGGGATTACGCTGAAGGAACATGACTGGATGAGTAAACATTGCATGTTTTATATGGTTGGAAA